CAGATGTGTGGTACAGAACAAAAACTGATCAGTGTTTATAGTTTTTCTTAAAAAGTGGGAGCCATACCCTGGCCAGAAGAACAGAATACTTATTGTCAGTTGTAGGTATTTTGGGTTTACATAGGTGTTTGTTTTCCTGCCTCTTGCCTTACTCTGAAATTTTAGTCTTAGTAGCTTAGTCTTAACTCTTTGCAAGCTTTTTCCTTCAGAGTCAGAATCAATTCAATGGCACACAGTGATAACAGTGAAGCCTGTAGATCGGGAACTGGCCAGGACTCCCTTGTTTTTCTGAGTCTCCCAAGTTTTACTCCTTTGACAGACGTAGTCACCCCCTTTTTTTTTAATCACTCTGGAGAAAGAGATCATGCTTGCCAAAGTGGAGGGACAATGAAAAAGGGGAAGGCCCTCAATGAGATGGATTGACGCAGTGGCTACAATGATGGGCTCAGGTATAGCAAGGATTGTGAGGCTGGCATGGGACTGGGCAGTGTTTCGTTCTGTTGTACAGAGGGTCACTACAAGCCGGAGCCAACTTGATGGCACCTAACAACAACAACAACAAAGATCAGGGTAAGGTGATAATCTGAGTATAAGTCTGATGAAAGCCTGAGGTTATGCAGTCCTTCAGGATAGTTCTAGGCTGGCACTTTCACCTGTAATCAATGTGGTACTTCTTCATGTTTGCACAGAATTTCCTCTTTAAAATTCAACTAATACTGTAGCATAAGAAAAATTCTATTTATATACTGGAAGATTTGAAAAATACCAAATTATTTATAAAAGAAAAATATTTCTAAATCCTAAAAAGAAACAAAACAAAACAAGTGATCAATCATGGAAGAACAGAAGGGCAGTGTTCACACAGGGAAACAGCTAGGGGGTGGGAGTTCATGGGAGGAAATGACACAGGGAAGAGGTAACTAACTACGAGGAGGAAGTGGGAAGAAAGCTGTTACACTGTGGGGAACTGCAGTCAATGTCATGAGACAAATGTGTATGAACTGCTGTATGGAAAATGAACTGGCTCTGTGAACTTACACCCAAATCACAATGAAACTTTAAACACACACACACACACACACACACACACACACACACCCCACTTGAACCTTCAACCTTTAGTCAGCAGCTAGGCACGTTAATCACTTGTACCACCCAGGGACTCCAAGTCAGCCATGTTATTATTATTGTTAGCTGCCATCAAGTCGATTCCAACTTGTAGCGACCCCACATGTGTAGAGTGGAACTGCGAGCTACAGAGTTTTCCAGGCTGTGACCTTTTGGAAGCAGATTACCAAGCCTGTCTTCCGAGGCACCTCTGGGTGTATATGTTGTTGTTGTTATGTGCAGTCGAGTCAGACCTGACTCATAGCGACCCCTCCTTGGGTTTCCGAGGCAGTATCACTATGGAAGTAGATTGCCCAACCTTCCTTCCGAGGAGTGGCTGGTGGGTTTGAACTGCCAGCCTTCTGGTTAGCAGTCAAGTGCCTTAGGCACTATGCTACCAGAGCTCCTGGGTGGGTATGCTTTCAGTTAATAGTCAAGCACATAACTATCTGTGCCACGCAAGGACTCAAGTTAGGCATGCTGTTGTGTCATCAAGTTACTTCTCAACCCACAGCAAGCAGGTTAAACAGAAGGAGTAGATTAAACATCTGATCTGGCAAATGCACATCCTCTTGGTGAGAGGTTAGTCAGAGTCTGGAGGGATTTATAAGTGAGGCCTCCCTGTACCCAATGGCCAAGCCAGAGCCTGGCAGGCAGGATACCAGGACTTGCATACACTGTATTTGGGACTCACATTCAGGTTTTCCCAGTTCAAGTGAGGAGAAAAGACTAACCTTGTCTGGTCACTGGACAGAACCTGGAGAGTACATGGAGGTGACTTGGGAAATGTATTCTTGGAAACAGGTTATTTTTGACCCTTGGGTGAGCTCTAGGAGGGCATCCAAAATGGAAGTCAGGCTTGGAAAAGAAATGAGTTGGAGAGACGAGGCCAGTGCTACTGGCGAGGGGCAGGCTGCAGCTGGCCTTCGAGGCGTTTCGAGGGTGAGGTGGGAAGAAGAGCAGGGACAGGGAGGATGTGAGCGAGCCTGGCTGGCTGTGACAGAAAAGGCTGAGTCACGGGCTTGCACAGATCCTGTGCCAGCTGGAGGAAAGGCTGCGGTCAGCGTCTCCTCAGGGGAGAACGGGGGCAAACACCCTCCCCGAGGGAGAGGTCCAGCCAGGGGCAGGCCCTTGTGCTGATCTTGCCTTTTCAGCTCCTTCCTGAGAAAAGTCATTGTATCTGGGCAATGCGAGGCAGAGGCGACTCTGCCCGTGGAAGGACGAGGGGAAAAGTAAAGGCAAATGAAGAGAAGGGAATCAGGGAGGAGAGTGTTCCCTTCTCCTCCTCCCATCCTGCCACGGGCTGGGGGAGTGGAGAGAAACTGTCTGACTGGCTCCCTTTCTAACTCCAAGCTTAAATCTATTTTCCAGTTCATTTCACATGATAGGAACATGATGTCATTTTTCCTGTTACTCATCACATTAGCAACACAAGCTATTGCCAATTCATGAAAACTGCTCTCCTTGTGGTCAGTGGGCCACACAGACTCCAGCCCCATGGCTTGCACTTTGATTACCCTCAAGGCATCAGCATGGCCTGTCGTTATCATCTTCCCTACAGTCAGCCATTTCCCTGGGCTCAGCCTACTGTCACACGGCTCTACTGTGAGTTTAGGTTCTGACGCCTCCACTCAGTTAACCTTGAGACCATGGTCAACACCTGACCTCTCCGTGCCTCAGTTTCCTCCTCTCTTAACGAAGATACAGGACCAACTTCCCAGGACTGTTGTGAGGGTTGCATGAGATTAGGGAGCTCATACAATGTTGCTCAGAGTCAACGTTATAAAAGATTGAACATCTCCTGTGTGGCAGTCACAGGAGCCAAGAAAGCAAGAGTCAGCGCCACCAGCAGAGGGCAGGAAAAAGGCAACAGGGAGCTGCTGTGGAGATGCGCACAGTGTGGGGGGTATAAAGAGCACAGGCTCTGGAGTCACACTGTTTAGCTGCAGATTTGGCTGTGTTACCTTGAGTAAGTTACTTAACCTCTCTGTGCTTCAAGTTTCTCATCTCTAAAGAGGGATAGAATAGTATCTATTTGATTGTGTTGTGAGGATTACAGAAAAGTTATTCAAGCAATGCTTGGCCCCAAAACCAAAACAGTTGCCATCAAGTTGATTCTGACTCATGGTGCCCCACGTGTTTCAGCATAGAACTGCATGCCATAGGGCTTTTGGCGGCTGATTTTTCAAAAGTAGATCACTAGGCTTTTATCCCAGGCACTTCTGGGTGGATTTGAACCTCCAACTATAGTCAACTGAAGTCAACTGAAGGAACATCCTGTAGCCATGTGCTTAACGCCTTGTGCCACCCTGGGACTCGGTTTCACTCAAGTAAAGGTAAAAAGATAGCTTTAAGTAATAGTGATAATACACGGGCTGAGTAGCATGGAGCAGCACAGAAGAGCACAGCAGAGGCATGGAATCCCGTCTGGAGGTGGAAGAAGAGGCTACGGTCAGAGACAGCTTCTCAGTGATGACATTTAAGCTTAGACCTGAACAGTTGTTGTTAGTTGGTGCCAAGTTGTTTCCAACTCACAGAAACCACACGTGTGCAGGGAGAACTGTGCTCCACAGGGTTTCAAGGCTGTGCCCTTCCAGAAGCAGAGGGCAAAGCTGTCTTCTAAGGCACCTCTCTGTGGATTTAAACTGCCAGCCTTGCGTCTGACAGGGAGAACTTAACTGTGCTACCCAGGCCTAAAGAGAACCATCCATGCCATTAGCCTTTAAGGTTTGCTGTGTGTCTGGACAGAGAAGACTCAATTTTGGCTCAGTCAACTCACCTCAAATTCCTGGCTGCTGAGCTGCAGGAAACCCTCAAAGAGCAGGGCCATTTCATGGCCCTATAGTGCTGACAGTGGGCCCTAGGGATCCCATGGTGGCAGCAGCAACCATCATGGTCATTCCTGAAGCAGGGCCATGTACTCTGAGAGCAGCAGGAACTAAGCTCACCCCACACTGGACCAGCTGGGTTCCCAGGAGCCCGGCCACTAGCACAGACAGAGGCCCTTCTGAGTGGCAATGGACATAAGAGAATCCATCGTCTCCTGTGCCCCATGCAGGACTGCTGTAAACTCATCAGGAAGGGCATGAGTCCCATGGGCTTTTACATGTCATAACCAAACCAAAGAGATGCCACTGAGTCAGCTCCGACTCAAAGCAAACCCATGTACACAGAGGAGAACCGCACTCCCTAGGCATTCAAGAAACAGGTCACCAAGACTTTCTTCCGTGGTGCCTCTGGGCGGGTTCAAACCACCAACCTTTTGGTTTATAGTTGAATAATTAATCGTTTGCCCCACTCAGCATTCCTTCATACGTGGTAATTACATCCTAATTCAACAAGTTCTTCATTGTGGCCATTGTAAATGTATCCAATACATTATTTCCATCTTAGTGTTTTTGAAACTGCTCTATAGAGAATGCTCCTCAGATTCCAAAATGAAATCACCCAAGGTGAGTACACAAACTGCTTTCTCTACTTTCTCTAATAAATTCTGCTTGCACGCAGTAAAGATGTGGAAGCGGCTCCTGTAATTAAACTAAGCCTCAGTTTCAAAAACTTACACATTTTTCAGGATGCTCCTTCAGTTGACTATAAGAATCTCGCAGCAATATCTGAATTACTGAACTGAACCACGGTTATGACTGCAGCCTAAGTGAACACCACTCTCCACGTCAAGCAGGGTTAACAAGGTGCCCAGTGAAAATACGGAGATTTTTATGTACTTGAAGAAGGCATTTCCGATTACTCTGGGGCTTTTTTAATTAAGTCTCAGTAGTAAATTTTGAATGATAAACCTAAAGGCGGATCACTAAATAACTGAGACAATCTCTTCAGCTTTTCTGAGTGAGTGAAACTTCCCTTTTCATTTAAAATCGATAGTGTAGACTTACCAAGGTCAATAAGAATTGCGTGCTGCTGGGAGGTTAGCTGTTTCAAGAGTTCTTTGTATGGTGTGTCCTTCGGCTGCTGTTTATTGGGAAACTGGTATCTGAGGTGGTATTGCTCTGCTAGGAATTTCCAGATTTCACCCCGGTGATGACGTGGCACACCTTTAAAAGGGGAAGGAGAAAATATGAAGGGTGATTTTATGCACAGAGAGTCCAAATGGTGTGAATGGTTAACACACTGGGCTGCTAACGGAAAGTCTGGCGGTCCGTGTTCCCCCAGAGGCTCCCTGGAAGAAAGTCCTGGAGCCTACTTCTGAAAAATCAGCCATGGAAAACTCTACGGAGCACGGCTCTCCTCTGACACTCATGGGCTCACCATGGGTCAGAACTGACCTGACTGAGAGCGGTGCTGATATGTACAGAACACAGATCATTAACAAAAACCAACTGCATGACATTTCAACAATCCAAATTCTTCTTCTATTATGAATTAACAGCACAGGAATGGAAAAGATGGCACCAAAAATTTGCCATATTTGCTCCCTTCCTTCTTTCTTCCCAACCACCAATCTTCCCTAACTTGCCCTACCCATTTTTCCACTTTTCTTCCATCTTTCAAGTATATACTACGTTCTGTGTTAGACCCTGCAAGGAATAAACCAATAAATAACACATAACCCCCCAACTTATGCCAGCTGACAATGTTCTCAGGAAATAAGATCAAGCATGAGACTATAATACAAAAGCTGACAAATGTCACATGAGGCATATAATCAAAGTGAAGTTCAGATGAAAGGCAGCTGGCTCACTTCTAACTGAGCAAACAAGATGGTCTCACAGAGCCCTTCATTCAGGACAGAGAAGAGGGGAGAGAGAAGACAAGCCACAGAGAGGAGACTGTGACCATTTCAGGCTGCCTTGCGCACAGGGTACATGTGGGGCGGGAAAAGTCAGCAGGAAGACTGGGATGGTTTCATTATAAGCAAAACTAAAGGACAGGAACCTACACTTGATTTAGTAGCTGGAGAGAGTCAATGAATGCTTCTGAGGTGGGAGGGGAGTGCCTGCTCAAAGCTGAGATTCTGGAGCATAACCAGACAGCTTCCTGCAGGGTGGGCTGGAGGAAAGCACTAGGGCAGGACAGGCAGCCCTCTGCATAAGCATGACATGTTAGGTTTTCAATGAAGACTCCAAAGCAATAAAAAAGATGCAAGCTTCTCCAGGTATTTTTTTTTTTTTTTTTTAATTTTTATTGTAATTTTGGTGAAAGTTTCCAGAGCAAGTTAATTTTCCATACAGCAGTTCATACACATTTTGTGTCACGACACTGACTACAATTCCATACAAAGTAACAGCTCTCTTCCCACTTCTTCCCTGTACTTACCTCTTCCCTGGGTCCTTCCCACCCACACACTCCCGCCCCCAAACTGTCTCCCTGTGCCAAACACTACCCTTCTGTTCTCCTGTGGTTGCTCGCTCGCTCCAAGGAGTATATCTACCTGATCTAAACGTTCACCCCATATGCCTGTCTATTGTTTGGCTGGAAGCCACATCCACCTAATATTTGAAGGATGATTACTTTGAATACTCAGAGAGATTCAAAATGTTGTCTAAAACTACGAAAAGTTCTCCTAAAATAAAAAATAACAGCTTTGAATCAAAATTCATTTGTTCGTTATTCAACCGATACAAGGCACAAATGTAGAAAGCGGGGAGAGAAAGAAGACTGCAAAATAAGACACTACAACTTTCTCATCTCAGACAGAAAGCAGGTCTCTTGGGAGAAAAGAAACCTCCAAAGTTGGAATTAATCTTTCTTCCCAACCAGGAAAAAATAAAAGTGACCACTTCATACACTCCCTGCCACTCAGGAAGACTGTCTAGCTTCCCGCTGGCCATCTCCAAGAGAAGTTTCTGCTCTGGGAAGACAGTAACAGCCCCAGTTAACATTTACTGTGTGGTCACTAGATACCAGGCACTATTCCAAGCACTTTTCAGGTGTTAGCCCATATCACCCACACAATGTTCTCAGGGAAATATTACGATTATCGTCACCATGAAGATGAGGAACGAGGATCAACCACAGAGAATAGGCCCCACAACTGAGGTCATCTCTGCCCCACTGGTTAATGGCAGTCCAGGAAAATGCCTTTACTCCTTTCTTGATAACTGCTCTCTCATACAATGCAGCTATTCAGATGGGTACAGAAGAAAAATATTTTATGTTCCTACCTTGCAATGAATAATAAAAATGATCACTTGTGGACTTAAGCCAAAAAGCGGCCAATTTCATTAATTATCAGGTCTACAAGGAACTATTAGAAAGCATCAGGTAGCCACCATCATGTTTGGAAAAGGGGAAGCTATAGTAGATACCTTGTTTTTCCCTTACATTCATCAGCTGTTTAAAAGTTAGCTTGTAGAGATAGATCCAGGACCACACTTAACCCTGCCCACATCCTATGCGTTCTCTAAATGTTAACATTTATCTGATGACCCCGTGGCAGTGGGTGGAATGGTTGTTCCCACAAAGGTATATCCACTTCCTAGTCCTCGAACCAGCAATGTGGCTTTACTTGGAAAAAAGGTCTTTGTAGATATAATTAAGCATCCTGAGCTAAGAAGATGATCCTGGTTTTCTGAGTGGACCCCAAACCCAATGACAAATGTCCTTACAGAAAAGACGATAGGAACAAGAGGAGGCAATGCGACCACAGAGGCAAAGACTGGAACAATGTGGCCACAAGTCAAGGAATGCCAATAGCAACCAGAAGCTGGAAGAGGCAAGAAACAGATTGTCCCCTAGAGCCTTTGGAAGGAACACAGCCCTGCTGACACCCTGATTTCAGACTTCCAGCCTCCAGAACTGAGAGAGAATAAAGATGGATTATTTTTAGCTACCCAGCTTGCACTGATTTATTGTGGCAGCAACAAAGAATGAATATCCGCTGATACCTCTTTTTTAATATTATTTTACTCCTTCTCTCTACTGTTCCAGCTCAGAAAAATGCACATACATAGACTGCGAATGTGTGGTCATGGTCAAACACACACACCACCCTGAGTATTTCATCTTAATCCTTGAAATCCTGATTAAAATGCCATCTGAGAAGGTCAGCATGTTAACTGATTTATAGTGGGGCTTTTTTAGAAACTTATTTCTTTTCCCAAACTGGAAAGTTTTCCCAAATTATGAGATGTTCCTCTTATTACTAAATCATTCCAATTATCTTATCAGTTTTTTTTTTTTTTTTTTTGAGGAAAGAAATGCTGGCTATATCATTAGACAGTACCGTAGATTCTGGTATTTAAGAGTAAGTCTGATTTTGAGATTTAGAAACAAAGAGTCATTCAAATCAGAGCCAATGTTTTTGCTACGACAGAGCTGGAACATCCTTTCCAGTGTTCCACTGTGCCTTCACTCCTGACCCAAGAGGGAAAGCTTGCCACGGAGTCATGCAGGACCTGTAGGTAGGGTTCTGAATGGGCAGCATGCCATTTTGCCACAAAATGTAAGTTAGTGTTTTATTTTTATAGACTTTGAAAGTAATGTATGCTTGTTGTTAAAAACAAGTAAAAAAAAAAAAAACTTAGAATACAAAAGGTATAAAGAAGAAACTGAAAAATCATCCACAACTAGAGAGCACACATAATTTATTACTCATAGTAGGAAGCTTCTGAAAGTGAAAGGAACAAGGGCTATGCCAGAAAATCTGGATGTATGGTCATCTGCCTATAATCCAGATTATCTGTGAATACATCGTGGATGTTTCTCTGTATAGAAACATACACCTGCATGTTTGGTAAAATAGAGGGCCAACAAAAACGAGGGAAACCTTCAATGTGATGGGTTGACACAAAAGCCTCAACAATGGACACAGACATGCCAACAATCATAAAGGTGGCACTGGCCAGAACCAGACAATGTTTCATTCTGTTGTATGTAAGGTCACCATAAGTCAGAGCCAACTCCATGACAAAACATGAGGCCACACTGCAAGTTTTTTTTTTCACTTAGCAACTTATCTAGACATCTTTTCCATCACTAAATATAGATCTAATGTGCCATTTTTTCAAGGAACCCAATATGGATTTTCACATGGGTTTTTTGGGGTGGGGACCTATTAAATAGTATCACAATAAGCAAGCATTCTTCTACTGCAGTCCACTTTTGACTGACTGATTTCTAGAATAAACTCCTATGAATAGCATTGCTGGGTCAAAATAAAAAGAGTTTATATGTGGCTCATACTGCCAGCTGCTCAGGTAGCCACGTTGTAATCCCATTCCTAGAAAAGTATGTTCTGCCTTATATAATTCTACCTTGAGTCTTCAGAGAAATCATTCAGGGCTTAACTGTGAATTATAGAAAGTTCTATAGAATTAGTCTTCCTTCCCCCAAGTTGACATCCTAATCTTGACACTCTGACCCAATTTTAACTTGAAACGTTTTATAAATCTCTTTATTACCATCTTTTAGGGGTATAATATGGAGTCCTAGTGGTGCAGTGGTGGAACACACCAGCGCCTCCATGGGAGAAAAGACCTGGAAATTTGTTCCCATAAAGATTTCAGCCTAGGAAGCCCTAGGGGCAGGTCTACCCTGTCCTATAGGGTCACTATGAGTGAGAAGTGACTTGATGGCACACAACAACAGATGATTAAGAGGACGAGCCTCATCACCACAAGTACTGTCCTCTTCCAAGGTCTCACAAGTGACTTGGCCTCTGTCTGAAAGACCAAAAATTTGGTTTGATTTAATCTCATTTTCCATTCTGTTATATAAGATGGGTGGAGGTCATTTGTTTAAAGTCATTAAATCTTATGTGCCAAAACAGCTGAAGAACTGGCAAAGTCCCTTCCCTTCTACAGTTATAGATACCCCATTCTCCTCAGCAGAAAGTGATGTGGCCAAGTCTGGGGATACATAAGGAAATGCCAGGTGAGCCTCAGCGCACCCCAGAATACAAATTGTTCAACCACCTATACCCACATTCACTACACAGGTGCCAGATTCCTAGAGTATTTCTATTAGTCTCCCTGGAAAAATGCATAGTGAAACTCCATATATCCAAGTGCCAGGTTTCTAAGAAGTTCAAACACTGAGAATAGTTGTCACAGACCCATGCAATGGACTTCGTGAAGAAGCAAAATCGACCATTACCTAGTCAACCGCAAAAGGGAAAGCATGGACTTGGTTTTCTCTGCTTTCTCCCTTTTTCCTGACAGCAATCTGAGGCCATTTGGTATAAGGGTAAATCTGATTGGAAGAAGGCCTCCTGATACCTTGATTTCAGATTCTGGTCCCCAGAACTGTGAGAGAAAACATTTTTGTTTTTTAAGCCATCAAGTTCACCTTTACTGGTGTGAGAGTAAACCTCCAGCAACCTGTACAGATGCAGAGAATGTTAGAACTGGAAGAGTCCAAGGTCTTCTGCTCTGAGCCCATCACTGTACGAAGGGTGAGGGGAACTGCCAAAGGTCATACTGGAAGCTGCTGGAGATGAAGGATCTGAATCCTCACCATCAACAGATGTTTCTGGTCTCTGAGAACAATGCTCCAGGTGAGGTTCAAAGGGAGGATGTGCCATAGGATGGTCAGACCTCCAGCAGACTGGGCTGTCAGCTCAGCTCTGTGGCCCTGGGTCTCTTACTCAACTGCTCTAAGTCCAAGTTTCCTTATCCATGGAAAGGGGCCAGTCATCACCAGCAGTAGCTACCTACCTATTAGTATTAAAATTGAAGTGCACAGGTGTGGCAAACAGTTTTTGCTTGACTGTTAACCTAAAGGTATATCCAGAAGTACTGTAGAAGAAAACGACTGCTTCTGTCAAGATCACAGCCAAGAAAACCCTACGGGACAGCTCTCCTCTGTAACACAGGGCATCTCACAAGTCGGAATCAACTTGAAGGCAATTCACAACATTATTAAAATTGATACTGTCAAAACTCAAAACAAAATGTTTATTAATGCCTTATAGACTATAAAAGCAAAAACTGCTTTGCCCTATTTATGCTCTTAAAAATGAAAAATGTTCTTGATAGAATCAGAAAAAAAAATCAGATCTATATACATTTGCAACTCATTCTAAACACCTAGTTATTCCTGACTGCATCAACCAGAACTCAGTAGCACTAAAATTAGAAAAAAAACATGACTTCCAATCTTGTCAGGAGACAGCAACATACATTTCAAAGGAAATCATTGCTTGCTTTACTGGAATTTAATAATCACTCAAGCTCTCAAACAGTGCTTCTCAAACTATCTGTCAGGAAGGACCAGTTTTTCTATTTAATTTTCCAATTGACTGCAGCCTAATACGTCTATAAAATACATTACAAAATGAATTAGAAGAAAAGTGAGATGAGAGCAATGCTGACAAAAAACCAACCCACTTTTTCTTTTTTTTCTTAAATACATATAAGGATCACACTGTCAAACTGCTGAAAATATTTCCAAATGCCTGGTCTAAGTTTCTGTACTTATCTCGTCTTGGACCAGTAATAGTGTGGACTGATACCAGTCAGCAGACTACATTTAAAAAATAGTTAATACTGTCCACACGCCCCCCAGGCCTTACAGGGCACCAGACACAAGCTGCCAGCTCTAGAATATTCGGTCACTTACTTCTCACATCAGCCAGGAGGGAGGTAGAAACTGTCATCACCCAGATCTTACACATGTGGAAAGTAGGGCTCAGAGAGTTTAGGTTATGTGCCCAAGATTGCACAGCAGAGGAAAATGCAGAGCCGGGATCTGAACTTAAGACTACCTATCGGAAATCTGTGCACTACACTCTATTATTGTCTCCCTAACCCAAACTCACTGTCATCAAGTCGATTCCAACTCCCCTATAGGACAGAGCAGAGCTCCTGACAGGGTTTTCAAGGCTGTAATCTTTACAGAAGCAGATTGCCTCATCAACCTTCTGGTTAGCACGAGTGCTGAATGGCACAATGGTTAAGGATTTGGTTGTTAACTGACACGTCAGTGGTTTGAAACCATCAGCTGCTCCATGGGAGAAAAGTCCTGGTGATGTGCTCCAGTAAATATTCTAGCCTTGGAAACTGCAGGGAACAGCTTTACTCTGTCCTATAGGACTGCTATGAATCAGAATGCACTCACCTGCACACAACATAGTACACAAAGACAATCCATGCAATTAGTCTTAAGTTTACTATTTAACTCAGGGTGTACGATCACGTCATCATCCAGTCTGTAGGCATCTAAGCCCTTGGGTTTTCCTCTGTCTCCTTCTTGCTTCCTAGTCTTCTGAGCATTTTAATTTCCATTAGGAATAATGAAAGGTGTTAAAACTCACATCAGTTAACATATCTGGAAATTACTTAGGAGAAAAGGAGGAGACGGCCCCTAAAATGAGACTTTACAATTTCTGTGAAGGTTAATTTTTTATCCCCTGTAATCAGTGAGGGCAGAGGTTGTGTGCAATGCTGCCCACTGAGGCTTACCTTGCCCGACCGCCGAATGCATTTTTTCCATGTCAAATTTAATTTTTGATCTTCCCGGAGTGCTTAGCATCTTCTCCCACACTGTAGTGACTTCTTTAAGACAAGGAGTGATTTCTTCATAATCAAGCTTTAGCCGCTTGTTCAGCAAATCATTTTCAGAGGCTGGAAACAGATCATTTAAATGCTAGTTAGTCAACGCCATGTGTCTTCAACTGCCTGATGGCCTTGTCTAACTTGTTATCTTTACCAAGAGAGATATCCAGCAGTTACAGCCAGCTGATGTCCAAATTAGAGTCACTGTTCTTACCTCACCCCATTTTGTCCTCAATTTTCCTTATCTTGGAAAATATGAAAAACTTAGAAGTCACCTTGATTTCCCTTATTCCTCCACCGCCAATGCATTGCATTGGCTCTAATGTTAAAATATATCCTATATCTTCTCAACTCTTTCTGTCTCCTATACCCCATTGCCATCAAGTTCTGGCTCACAGTGACCCTACAGGACAGAATAGAAATGCCCCATAGGGTTTTTAAGGCTGTTAATCTTTATGGAAGCAGACTGCCACATCTTTCTCCCATGGAGCAGCTGGAGGATTTGAACTGCTGACCTTTCAGTTAGCAGCCATGCACTTTAACCACTGCACCACCAGGGCTCCATCCATCTCCTATACTACCCATTTAAAACATAAACATCTCAAGAGCAGGAGCTAGATGTTAAAACTCCCGATGCCCGACATGGTTAGAGCTCAACAAAATTTTTCACTTAAACAAGGAAAGGCTCTCTGGGGATAAGTCCTTTTTATTTAGAGTCACAGGTAACCTCTACCTATTGCTCCTGTATCTGCTTCCTAGAGCTGAACAGAGTGAATATACTCGTCTTACATGACATCTCAAAAATACAGACAGCTACTGTTTTCCACCAACTATCACTCAGCCTCAAGCTACACTAAGAAGAATTCTACCTAAATTACCAAACAGAAAAAACAAAAATCAATAAAGGAACATTTTAACTGACAATTTAAAAAACAGATAAAACCCACAACATTACTCCCACCTCACAACCACTAAATCTGACTTAGGCACAGTGACCATACTGTCAGTTCTCAAATCCATGCCACATCACATTTCAAACATGGACTAGATATTTATCAGGGAAGCAGATGCGGTACACAGCTAGCTGTATGTCAATACACAGACTTTTGCGAAGCTAATAAACCAGTCTTTATTATAATAATAAAACAAATACTTATTATACGTCTGTCGTAAGTGCTTCATACTTAGTTTATTCCTAACAACATCTGAAGCAGCGTTTTTGGATGAGAAGACTAAGGCATCAGGCAGCCAAGTAGTGTCACCATGGACCTAGAGAAGAGACAGCAGAGCCAGGCCTGCAATCCAGGCATCTGCCTCAGGGCACGAGCCTTTCTCCACCAAACCACAGTGGGTGCTGCTATTAACCAAAAGTTTTCTTCTCTGGGACTAGGCATGTACACCAGAAGGCTGGCAGTTCAAACCCACAAGCTACTCCTTGGAAGGAAGGTTGGGCGATCTATTTCCGTAGTGATACTGCCTTGGAAACCCAAGAAGGGGTCTCTATGAGGCAGGTCTGACTTGATGGCAGTGGGTTAGGCATGTATAGTGTAGTGGTGGGTTCAGTGGTAGAATTCTTGCCTTCTACCTGGGTTTGATTCTTGGCTGATACACCCCAAGTGCAACCACCACCCGTCTGTTAGTGGAGGCTTATGATGCTAAACGGGTTTCTGCAAAACTTCCAGACTAAGACAGACTAGGAAAAAAGGCCTGGAGACCTACTTCTAAAAATCAGCCAATGAAAACCAATGGATCTGAACCACCCAGTCTGCAGCTGATCATGGGATGACACAGGACAGCTGAGTAGCTGAGCAGCCTTTCATTCTGTTGCACAGAGGGTCGCCATGCACTGAGGGCCCAATTAACTACCAAGGGATATATCAGTTGTTGTTGTTAGACGCCATCAGGTTGGTTCCAATTCATAGCCACCCCGTGGACAACAAAACAAAACACTGCCTAGTGCTTTGCCACCATCACAATCACGGCTAGGCTTGAGCCCACTGTCACAGCCACTATGTCCATCCATCTCATTGGAGTTCCCCCTTTTTGCTGACCCTCTCTTTTAGCAAGCATGACATCCTTTGAGGTATCAATTTTGTTATTGTGGTTTTTTTTTTTTTTTTTTTTTTAGGATTTGCGTGAAGATTTACAGAGTAAATTCACTTTTCATACAGCAGTTCACATATACTTTGTCTCATGTCATTGACCAAAATTTACAATGCAGCAGCTCCCCTCCCACTTCCTCCCCATAGTTACCTCCTCCCAGTGTCCATCCCTTCATACTCTTCTGCACCCTGAGAGGCCCATTGTCTGCCAACCCTGTATATGATCTTGGATACACTCTCCATTTAGACATACATAATTGTTTAGCTTGTTCACCCATCTATCCGTCCCCATACCCATGTTTGCTTTCATTGACACCTCAGTATTGTATTTGCAAAGGGGTTCATATTTGTTGTTTGTACTGCCCATGTAACTCTCTCTGTCTTTCTCATCCTCAATGCTGCCATATTGGTCACTCACATTTGGTACATTGCCCTTCTCTTCACCCAAATCAATATTTATCTCTATCTATCTAACAGCATTCCCTCCCCTTCCCTCCCACCCCTGGTAACTAACAAAGAAAATGTCCTCCAATATATAAACCTTTCCTTAACTTTCACAATAACGGACTAATACAATATTTGTCCTTTTGTGACTGACTTATTTCGCTCAGCATAATGTCCTCCACGTTCATCCACGTTATGCGGTGTTTTGCAGATTCATTGTTATTTAACACTGTGTAGTTCTGTTGTGTGAATGTACCAAAGTTTGGTTGTTATTGTGTTTTTAGGTGCATCCAGTCAGCTTCAACTCATAGCAAACCTACGCACAACAGAATAAACCACTACCCTGTCATGCACCACCCTCACAAGCCTTGCTTTGCTTGAACCCATCATTGCAGCCCTTGAGTCAATCCACCTCAATGAGGGTCTTCTCCTTTTTCACTGACCCTCTACTTTACATGCCTCAATCAGAGGCCTCAAATGTTTGATAAAATCCAACGAAGCTACTCTGGCCTATAGTTTTCTTTGTGTGAAAGTTTTTCAATACTAATTTGATCACTTTGACAGATATAAGGCTATTCTGATTTTTCCTTCTCATTTCAGTTTTGGTAAGTGTGTCTTTGAAGTAGTTAGTCCATTTCATCTACTTTTTTTTTTTCATTTACTGGCATAAAGTTTATCTTAATACTTCCTCCTCATTATGTTTTTAAGGTCTGTAGAATCTATAGTCTAAACTAAAAATATGGATACATCAGTATACATATCTCTTAAGACTGGTCCCCCTCCCCAGCCAACACCCACACACACCCACACCCACACTCACTAACACCTTCCTTCCCTGCCCTATTTTATTCTTGAGGGCCTAGGGCCAATTATGTAGGAAGTTCTAGAGGTAGGATTTGAATTTATGCTAAAGCACTACATTTCTATATGCTAGTGTCTTTTATTCTTAAAATAGGAATTACAGATGGTTCCCAACTTATGACATAGTCAAGTTATGACAGACTGCACTTAGGATGTTAGCCTTTAGAACCGTCAGGGTTTGTTTTTTGTTTTTGGTACATCTTATCATTAGTAATATATGCTACATATGATGTTGCAGCACATAATTTGTTGATATTACCATTCTCAGATGTTCACTTATAGATGTTCGAAGATTAGATTTATAAAGATTTTACTGATAATAAAAGGCAGTAATAATGAAAACTGGGGGGGGGGAAAAAAGGCATTCAACGTATGTCAGAACCAACTTGCCAGCTTACAGTGTACTCATTGGAATGGGACTTTGCCATCAACCGAGGACTACCTGTGTAGCTACTTCAATGAGTTGCTCTTGTGAGGATTAATTGAGATGAAATATACTAAGCCTTGGAACATCTATAAAACATCTGCTAATCGGCACAAATTCCACAAATTCTCAGAAACAGACAAAAATGGATGGTACAAAACTTTATTTTAGGATCTAAGCACTGACTGAACATGAAATGAAACATTTTCTTTTTCCATTTCAGATATCCAGCAAATGTTAACTCCGTTAGTCTGGCTAATGCTACCCTGAAGGTAAGACAAGATTCATGGCTTCTGTGTTTACTAGACCTGATGACTACCTTCAAGTACAAGGGCATCAAAGGATAACACAAAAAGGACCACAGAGATCACCTGGTCCAACCTTTTGTGTTACGGGCACAGGTGCTTTCATCTATTACAACATTTCATCTTCCATCTTTATTCCTTTCTCACTTTGAAAAATAATTTTTCAAGGTTCTCCAAAACAATTGCCTTCTTTTATGGGGCTGACTTGGTTTTATTTATTTATTTATTTTGATTGTTTGTTTTCTAAATGTCAACCCCAGATTTTCTGGGCTATGAGAAAACACAATGGATGTATTTAGAGTTGAGCTATCTCCTATGGCAAATCAGGTTCAGAACTTGTCTTGTTGAATAGTAACCGCAAACAGTCTAGACTCTTGCTGCCAACATACAATTGTTTCTCTGGCTGTGACATGTGCTGTGACACTGTGTATCTGGCCACCCTAACACAGCCCAGCTAGTAGCATGAGGCACTTTCACTAAAGTCAACAGAACTTCTTCACACAGACAGACATATCTGGCTAGGCGACTCTGCTAAGGCTTAATTCATGTATTTTGCTGTTGCTCCAAGCAGCAATCTGCTGTTTCAGTTTCCTGACAACATTGCTGCTACTGAAAACCAGCCACCTCCAAGAACGTGTTAACACTCAAGGGAGTTGGCAGTACTTGCAACAAGTGTCAAGACTCCAAGGCAAGAACTTTAGCTATACCACTGACAATATCAAGTAACAGCCTACAAACCCTTGTTCCACCACTCATCTGTCAGTTTGTCATACTGTGGTGGCTTGTATGTTGCTGGGAGGATGGAGGCCATGCCACCGGTATCTCAAATACCAGCAGGGTTACCCATGATGGACAGGTTTCAGTAGAGCTTCCAGACTAAGACAGACTCAGAAAAAGGAAGGGGTCATTTACTTCTCAAAGAAGTGGACG